ATTTTGTGTCCTTTTCTTGCCTTGTAAAAGACTATGATTTGTAGAAAATGACTTTGTTGTAATTCAGATTCAGTTTTATTTGCCATTTGCAGTAAAAACACCACATAGGAATACATTAGCAAAAGTCACCAGTGTGCACAGACAAATACAGACATTGAGTGAAAGGTGTGTTTTTTTAGATGGGGGGAGGGATTATATGTAATTTTGTGTGTGTTTATTTTTATACGTAAAGTGTGTGTTTTATATTTTGTCCTAAAATGTGAAAACTGCAATAAACACATTTGTGAATCATTCTAGTGTGTCTCTTCAGGATGTGTCTTTCTAGTCTGACAGTGGAGAACATACCAGACATGTAAACAGGCCAGAAGCCCCAGGGAGACCCCACAGAGCAGCGCGAAGGGCACAGCCAGAAGCAAAGATAAGATTTTATAACTCCAGACACGCGCAGTCTCAAAGCCACGCAGACTGTAGACCCAGACCAGGTCTACGCTGTGGGGAGAGGCCGGTTCAGCCAGGACGTCACTCACCTCCACCTGTCGTGACAACACAGTATCATCAACATGTCAGGAACACTGTGTGGTTTATGAATCTAGCACTAATTCACAAATAAATCCATCCATCTATCCATCCATCTATCTGTCCAACCATCCATCCACCCATCCTTCCATCCAACCACTCATGCATCCATCTATCTATCCAGCCATCCAACCATCCATCTATCTATCCATCCATCCAACCATCCATCCATCCTTCCATCCATCCAACCATCCATCCATCTTTACATCCATCCAACCACTCATCCAACCTTCCATCCAACCATCCATCCATCCATCTATCCATCCATCCATCTATCCATCCAACCATCCATCCATCTTTACATCCATCCAACCATCCATCCAACCATCCATCCAACCATTCATCCATCCATCCATCCATCCTGATATTTCTGTGTCTTTCCATTTTAAAGCTTTTTTTCAACCTTTCACATGTTTTCACACTTCTGTCTTCTATGGAAAATCTGTGACAAATAGAAACACATAACACACTGGGGGAGTCTTGCACAGTTTTTCCAATGTGGTTTTACTGCAAATGGCAAATAAGTTCTTGTATCTTGTATATAAATAGGTCTGATCTCAGAAGCAACCCCTCCTCCTTCTTCATCCAGAAGTTTGTTTGAAATTCAGAGCGTTTGTTCAGGGTACAAAAGTGGCTAGGGTTAGATTAGACCTTTATTAGATTATACTAGAATCAGAATCTATGTTTTTCATGTTTCCAAATCCCTCTCAGTTCATTAGAAGTTGCTAGAACAAAACTGTTTTATAAATTAGTCAAGTTTCCTAAAGCGGTCAATGTTTATTTTGTGTCTCGGACCTTTTTTACATATTTTCACATTTGATTTAAAGATGTATTTTTTATGAAGTAAACAAATTAAATGTGAAACCAGACCCTTTTTTTCTTTTCTCAAATTTATTTTTCAGAAAAAAATTGAAGGAAACTTTCACATCCGTTACACATTTCGCGAGGGTAATTTAAATTTGTATTGATTATTATTCCTTTTTAAAGTAGTAGCCTCTGAGGACATTTTATTGTCTACATCTCTGAGCCACAGTAAAATGATCCAATCAGAGGCGGATCTGGGATTTTAACATTTCGCTAAACTATGTATTTGTCTCTTTCTCTTTGGTCTGTCTCTGTTTAAAATCTGTGTTCCAATCTATGAAAGACAAGTCATTTTAATTTTTGAGTTATAACTTTTTGAAGTCCAGTTACTATATTTGACACTTAGTGAACACACCCATATCTAAAACAAGGAACTACACTGTAAACTGCACTTGAAAAAAACTAGGACATAAATTGCACATTAACTTAACATTAACTAACTGCAGTGAACTCCATGGGTAGATTACTTGCAAACCCAAATGATTGCAATAAAGTTTGGCTGTGATTTCAACATATACCAATGTCAGAATGGCCCTGCCCCGACTGGGATTTGAACTCATAACCTTCTTGCTGAGAAAGCGAAGGTGCTACCCACTCGGCCACGATTTGTGGAACCATCGTGGGTTCAGGGTTTTACAGTGTAGATCTGAACCAACGGTGGGTTAGGTTTTACAGTGTAGATTTGAACCATCGTGGGTTCAGGGTTTTACAGTGTAGATCTGAACCAACGGTGGGTTAGGTTTTACAGTGTAGATTTGAACCATCGTGGGTTCAGGGTTTTACAGTGTAGATCTGAACCATCGTGGGTTAGTTTTTACAGTGTAGATCTGAACCATCGTGGGTTCAGGGTTTTACAGTGTAGATCTGAACCATCGTGGGTTAGTTTTTACAGTGTAGATCTGAACCATCGTGGGTTCAGGGTTTTACAGTGTAGATCTGAACCATCGTGGGTTAGTTTTTACAGTGTAGATCTGAACCATCGTGGGTTAGGTTTTACAGTGTAGATCTGAACCATCGTGGGTTAGGTTTTACAGTGTAGATCTGAACCATCGTGGGTTCAGGGTTTTACAGTGTAGATCTGAACCATCGTGGGTTAGGTTTTACAGTGTAGATTTGAACCATCGTGGGTTTGGGTTTTACAGTGTAGATTTGAACCATCGGTGATAAAGAACCTTGAGATGCTGGTTGATGCCACAGGGGTCTCTGCTGACGGGAGGGGTCAGAGGACTGGGGGCAGGTGTGGTTGGTCCGGTCGGAGGTTTTGGTGATGGGCTGGGTTCTTTAGAGGCAAACTCAGGAGGGGGCGGAGCCGAAAGGACGAGCTGATCTTCATCCTCTTCATCATCATCAATGGGACACTCCACCAGACACTCATCACGGATCATGGTCACTGCACAGAGGACTGCCACCACACATTCATTTTCAATTTGTGCAGGGTGGAGACAAGGAGAATTTTCCTAGAAGAGCAGTTAGAAAGTTGCAAAATGTCTGACAATATCTACGGTTATACTGTACTTTAGCGGGATTAGAAAAAAACTTCCACTGAACCTACTATTACTGACCTACTTACAATAACATTAAAGAACTTCTCACCCCCGCTCCTCGAGGCTTTCGTCACAATTCCTGTTAAAATCTCCCTCCAAATGGGCGTAGCCTGGAGGACTACAGGGGACAGGCGGGGGGTGAATGTTTATATTAACTGTAGGGGTGGGAACCTCAGGGTACCTCTCGACACGATACGATGTGCGACACAAAGCTCACGATAACGATTATCTCACGATATGACGATGCAGCGATTATTGATATATTGGTCAAAAATATACCTACGATAATATTTTTCTTATATTTATGGCATAAATTAAGTGAAAAAATACACTTTATTTCAAGATAAATGGATAAAGTGTCATGTGTAACATTACAGTGAACCTGCACATTTTAGTAAAAATCTTAACTTTTTTTTATTTGATATTTAGCAAACGCGATTGCATGAGAAAGTATCACGATACATCACCATATCGATATATTGTCACACTCCTAATTAACTGCGTCCATTAGCGGTAACTTTCACTCATAAAAATGAACAGTTGTAGCTACGTTGCACCTAAATGAATACGCACTTACCGCGTTTAAAGTTCTAATCTGGTCTCAATGACAGAGTTAAACAAACGGAACAGCCTTGAAATAATAACCTCCAAAGAAAACCTAACCTCTTGTTCACACACAGAGCACCTGCACGTCCCAAAGCCCTCACTAATGGGGATAAGACCTTGGACTTCTGTGGCTGTGGGAAAGAGGTTATTTTTGGGCAGAGCAGAGGCCAGCCCTGGGATCGCGTTACAGCAGTGTATGGTTTTAGTCTCTCCAACACTCAAGACAAAGGATTAGACCTGACTTTACACCATTCATTTATTCATTTGCACACACAGTTGTTGGACACAAAATTGTTGACATCAGCAAAGTGTGATGCAGAAATCATACGGTTTTGTCATAGAAGCAGCATTATCACAAAATAATGGTCTATGCCGATGCTTTTTAGATCAAATACAACAGAACATTGCATATAAAATACAGTTTGGAATGAAGACCACTGTAATAAAACTGAAGAAAAACTGCAGTGAGAGAATTCCCAAATCATGAGTCAGTATCTATCCGTTTTTTTATTCATAACTTCCTCAGAAATTGGAGCTAGTGCAGTTTTCATAATCATAACCGTGAAACAGAAAAAGAACACAGATATTTTGTTTTACAGTGGATCTCCTCCTACACCCAATGAAAATGCTCAGAATCAGACTCACAGATGGTTCGAGCAGAGAGAGACCAAACAGGAGTTCACAGTTAAACATAGAGCTTCATGGTTCATGGCCGTCCTCCCCGACACTGGGGCCATTTTGGCTCTTTAGGTGTGGGCACAGTTTCCAGTGAGTGGACCAAAGCCCTGAGTGAAGAGAAATTCGTTCATCCTTCAGTCACCACACCTGAGTCGGCAAGTCTATCTCTAAGCCCTGAGTTGTGGCCTTTCTCCAGGCCGACGCTCACAAAGACGGGAATGCAGGCTCCGTACAGAACAGCGTAAACACTTAGGGACATGGGAATTGAATTGCTGTGATTCTTTTTGGTCATAAAACTGAATATATTTATGAATGTGATTGCATTATTATTATTATCTTTATCAGCGCATGTGATTCTTACATTTGGCATCTTTGATAAACTATAAACATGCTCACCAAGTTTTTTTTTAAACAATATTGTATCTATTTAGTCCGTTTTTTGTGGCCACAGCTGCCCTGAAGTGAACAAACTGAAAGATGGATGCCAATAGTAATGTGACTGAACATCTGAAACCAAATGAGGCATGCTTAAGTTTCATGAAAGCGCTGTAAAAACATTCCCAAAACCCTGTGACAGTCTTCACACCCTACACACAACACACACGGATGGTTGTGTGTTCGGACGCCGCATGCCTGTCAACACTTCTTTAAAACACATGAATTATTAAGCACAGTTTTTACACTTAAGTTACATAAAGGTGAGAATGTGAAGGCACTCCTAGACACAGGCCCCAGATCAGTCTTCTTCTTTTAAATAAAACTATTAGTGAGCTGATCTCAGACCTGCCACTAGGGGGCAGCGCAATACCTTCAAGTTAAGTTTGATTCTTTTCAGTTCAGTCTGTTGATGTCTATGGTTCTTCCAAATGAGGCTAAAGAGTCCACAAAACAAAATTATGGTCACCTGGACACAACAAGAAGAACTGGACAAGATGGCACAGATATTCTACAAGGGTCAAAGAATCTTCAACTTGTTCAACCAATGCCATAAACCGACCATGTTCTGTGTCAGTCCACGGGCCGAAAGAGGACACGGCCCCGGAGCCCAAAACCTCCTTTCTTAGTGACGGGCTGCGGCAGAGGAGAGGAGGTGGTGGAGCTGGAGGAGGCCGTGGCTGCTGGGGGCAGGGCAGAGGGAGGGGCCGCCGGCTGACGGGACAGAAGCTCTTTGAACACGGAGTTCATCTGACGACTTATTATCTCCTGTAATAAAGAGAAGGGTTTATATTTCAGATTATAATACGTGTTACAAATATAAACAAGTCAGACTTTTAATGACGGGTTAAAAATGATCTTCTTTATTGATATAAACTGTGGTCTTATTATATTCTCATAAAAGGTTAACAATAGTCTGGTCTTATCCATCCGTACTCTCCGCTCAGTCATCATGTCCTGCATGTAACGTCTGGGTCTGGTCCCTGTGTTTGTGATTACGATCGGTTGAATTCCATCCGACCAATCAGAGAGCGCGGGAGGCGGGTGTTGTAGTTAGATGTGGGTGACGTCAAGAGTTTGCGTCGAACGGGCAGGTTGTAGTTTGGCGAAGAATGCGATAGTAAAGTAATCCAGTCTGGTTCTATCAAGAAACTGAAGCCGGAGCAAGAGTTTAGCAAATATAATCGCTGGTCAAGATTGTGGCGCTACTCCCCACGGGCTCCGTTAGCTGCAAAGGAGATGGCTAAAGCTAGGCTAAATGCTAAATGGGCTCGGGCTAATTACATACGTCACAGTAAACTCAGATCCAATGGTTTCAATCTGCAAAAGGAGTTAGCCCCTCCCACCTGTTAACGGAGTCAATGGAACAAATACAGACCATAGTATGAAATGTCATTTGTACTATGGTGTGGTACGACCAGGCTAGGTTAACAATAGTAAAAAGAATATTCAGAACACAAATACATAATCGTAGCAAAGACTTTCACATCTCATAATAATAGTTTTATGAATCTATTGACTATCCAGTAATGATTTTGGAAAACATGGACATTTTATTTTCAACAATTCTTTCTAAAAGGGTCAAGTGTAAATAAGTCTAATATATATTTATACCTCTGCGATACACCAGTCTGCCAATGAGCCATGACAGAAAGTGCCATGGCTCATTGTTATTGTTTGTTGATCCATCAGTGAAAAGTAAAAATTATGGCCCTTAAAGGTCCTCTGTGTCATTTTTACAGTTCCTCCAAATGAAAAACATAATATTAACCAATAACAAATGTGACTTTTTAAAGAATATTTACCTCCACCATGTTTTTGAATTGTTTTCACAGACTTAGAATTTGACTTATAAATGTCCATGAGGCTGGAGGACTCTACAGGTCAATGCCTCATCTTGAAATACAGTGGTTGATAAGGGACAAAAAGGAGTTTGAGCTGGAGGGGGGGACCTCTGTCAAAGATCATATATTGTCCTGTGAATCCACCGTAACCGTAAATTATAAAATATGATCTCAAAGCTGGATGGGAGTAAATACTACCCAGCGTACTCTGGTATCTGATCTTTTATTTCTGTGATAATTACACAAATATTCATATGTATTAATGCATTAAGAAGCCAAGACATCTACTTGTGAGCAGACTTTGATGTTTACGATATGAGGGACACACCGGCACCCGCAAAAGAAGCTAGGGGTTGGAGTCATAGAGGTCATAGGTCATAGTGTTGCATGTGTTTTAGGTTTTCATATCATGTTACTCTGGTATAAGACCAGAGGTTTTTCGTTCAGTCTTTGTCTTTCCATCTTTTTTATATCTATGCAGAGTCTGATCATTTCCAAATAACTATCTCTGTTTGTGCGAGAGGGAAACCCAGTTAGGCCACAGTACCTTTAAAATACCCATTTCTATTGATCTTGTTGATCGTCAATTCCGGCATTCCGGCATTCCGGCACTTAGACCAGTCCCTAAAACCTGCATCCATGGCCCAAACTAAACACATAACAGTGGGTCACCTTGTCGATAGCAGTCTTGTCGGGCTGAACGGAGCCGGGTCTGTCCGTGGGTTTGAATCCCCCCTGTCGCAGAGTGTCCAGGGTGTGTCTCCGTTCCTGGGACCTTCATTTAAAACCATAAAGTCTCATTAGTCTCGTCACACATGGTCGTCAGCCGGTGTGTACTGTCACTCGTAACGGCTGTAAACGTACACTGGGAAATGGCGTGTTGCTGGAGACGTCGCCTGCTTCCTGTTTGGGCTGACTTCACTGGTTCTCTGTCGTCCTGGCAACGATGCGCTGTCGCTGTTCACACGCATCCTGATGAAAACATTAGTATTAAGAACTACCTTCGTCTCTAAAGAAGAACAGAGCGCACACATGAGACTTCTCCTTATAAATACAGTCTTATGTGGTTTCAGTGCAAATAAACAGGACAAATCTGTGCAGAAAGGAGAGAATGAGAGATCGCTGCTTCTAGTTTAAATTAAATACAAGTTTTTCAGTGCTCATTCCATTACCATTATAGTTTTAAGTCTTTAAGCCGCAACTTTTTCTAGTTCCTGCGGCTTATATAGCGACACGGCTAATATGTGTATTATTTATTATGGTAACGTTTTCAGCCAGATGACATGGACTCCATCTTTTCGCAGCGATAAGACACTTGTTTATTGTCAAAATAACAGAGGACGACCATAAACAAGTGTCCTAATATCAATTTCATACACTTTATCAATTTGTATTTGATATATATTCAGTAAAACTTCCCTCTACTCGACTGGGGATTACAGGGGAACGAAACAAGCTAGAGACTAAATTCTTTTTGCTGATGAAAGTAGACAGTCCATTCTTTCAGAATCTGGTTTTGGATTTCAGATAGTACACAATATTCTGTGTGTCTTAAAAAATCAGTAAAAATCATCAGAAACGGCTGGCAATATGGAAGTACCTGTTCTGAAATGGGCTGTCAGTCAATGAGTTAAAGTCATTTCAACAAAAAACGTTTGTTTCACAGATTAAATAATGTTAATGTGACTTTTATTGATACTGTGTTGCGATTTTACATTTTTGTTCTGTTAATTTGGCTGTCTCTTTTTTTTACAGTGCAGTCTGAATTTAGGGGATGCGGCTTATATCCAGGCGCGGCTTATAGTCCAGGAAGCTCCGTCAATGTGAACTATGAATGTGAGCATCTTACTCTGCTGCTGTAGAAGAACATACTGGTCTGAATCACGTCACTTGATTAACTTACATTTATTCATACGTAAAGAGTAGAGTTACATATACAGTGCCTTGCGAAAGTATTCGGCTCCCTTGAACCTTTCAACATTTCGCCACATTTCAGGCTTCAAACATAAAGATATAAAAATTACACTTTTTGTCAAGATTCAACAACAAGTGGGACACAATCGTGAAGTGGAACGAAATTTCTTGGATAATTTAAACTTTTTTAACAAATAAAAAACTGAAAAGTGGGGCGTGCAATATTATTCGGCCCCCTTGCGCTAATACTTTGTAGCGCCACCTTTTGCTGCAATTACAGCTGCAAGTCGCTTGGGGTATGTCTCTATCAGTTTTGCACATCGAGAGACTGGAATTCTTGCCCATTCTTCCTTGCAAAACAGCTCGAGCTCAGTGAGGTTGGATGGAGAGCGTTTGTGAACAGCAGTCTTCAGCTCTTTCCACAGATTCTCGATTGGATTCAGGTCTGGACTTTGACTTGGCCATTCTAACACCTGGATACGTCTATTTGTGAACCATTCCATTGTAGCTTTGGCTTTATGTTTTGGATCATTGTCCTGTTGGAAGATAAATCTCCGTCCCAGTCTCAGTTCTTTGCAGACTCCAACAGGTTTTCTTCCAGAATGGTCCTGTATTTGGCTCCATCCATCTTCCCATCAATTTTAGCCATCTTCCCTGTCCCTGCTGAAGAAAAGCAGGCTCAAAGCATGATGCTGCCACCACCATGTTTGACAGTGGGGATGGTGTGTTCAGGGTGATGAGCTGTGTTGCTTTTATGCCAAACATATCGTTTTGCATTGTGGCCAAAAAGTTTGATTTTGGTTTCATCTGACCAGAGCACCTTCTTCCACATGTTTGGTGTGTCTCCCAGGTGGCTTGTGGCAAACTTTAAACAAGACTTTTTATGGATATCTTTGAGAAATGGCACTCTTCCATAAAGGCGAGATTTGTGCAGTGCACGACTGATTGTTGTCCTATGGACAGACTCACCCACCTCAGCTGTAGTTATCTGCAGTTCATCCAGAGTGATCATGGGCCTCTTGGCTGCATCTCTGATCAGTCTTCTCCTTGTTTGAGATGAAAGTTTGGAGGGACGGCCGGGTCTTGGTAGATTTGCAGTGGTCTGATACTCCTTCCATTTCAATATAATTGTTTGCACAGTGCTCCTTGAGATGTTTAAAGCTTGGGAAATCTTTTTGTATCCAAATCCGGCTTTAAACTTCTCCACAACAGTATCTCGAGACCTGCCTGGTGTGTTCCTTTGTCTTCATGGTTCTCTCTGCGCTTTAAACAGAACCCTGAGACTATCAAAGAGCAGGTGCATTTATACGGAGACTTGATTACACACAGGTGCATTCTATTTATCATCATCAGTCATTTAGGACAACATTGGATCATTCAAAGATCCTCACTGAACTTCTGGAGTGAGTTTGCTGCACTGAAAGTAAAGGGGCCGAATAATACTGCACGCCCCACTTTTCAGTTTTTTATTTGTTAAAAAAGTTTAAATTATCCAATAAATTTCTTTCCACTTCACGATTGTGTCCCACTTGTTGTTGATTCATGACAAAAAAATTAAATTTTATATCTTTATGTTTGAAGCCTGAAATGTGGCGAAATGTTGAAAGGTTCTAGGGGCCGAATACTTTCGCAAGGCACTGTAGTTACCTGGTTGGGTTCTCTGCTGGATCCTCCACGGTCAGGTTCCCAGTGCTGCCCCCACCTCCACCTCCTCCACCTCCTCCTCCCTCCTCCCTCTTTCCTCGCTCCGTCCTGAAATCAGAGGAAAATGGAGATTACATTATTTGTGAACATGTATAAATGCACTTTTCTGCACCTGTAAATACATTCTGAGGTGAAACTATCCAAAATGATGAGTTTGGTGGGATGAAAAAAGTCAGTTCCGGGGCCTCGTGTGGGAGTATTTCTGCAGCAGTGACACCAAAGACTTATTTTAAGATGTTCTTTAAATGTGCTAATGTTTTCTGCAGAGACAGCGCCGTGATTTTTTCAGATGAAATATTCTGCTGAATCACCTCCTACTTCAAACTAAACCCAAGACTTTTCAATCTTGCAAGTTGTCAACAACATATTACAGTATATTGTTTGTTATTGTACATTTATTAGTAAGAAAACCAAGACCTGCAAGTTACACAAAAGGTACACAACAAATCAAAATCATGCTTTTTTTATGAATTTTTTTTGAATGTTCTGGAAACGTCTGCGAGTCCTGAGTGTCTCTGAAACAGTTTTTGTTTTGTGTTTTACAATTGTTATTTTTCTTGCATTTTTCTGCCTGAGATGTTGCTGCAGTTCAGTGTTCATGGTTTTACACTGGTCCAGACCAGAGCAGAGAGGATTCATGGTTTTACACTGGTCCAGACCAGAGCAGAGAGGATTCATGGTCCGAACCAAGTGGATCAGGAGAAAATCCACTGGAGGAATGCTAACTTTTAGTAAAATGCTAATGAAGCTTTTAGCATTTTACTTTGTAGAGAAAATGGTCTGAACCAAGAGGCTCCACTTCTGCTGCTGTGACCTGAAGGACTTTTGTTATTAATACTACTGTTAGTTACTTTAATAATGATCTATGTATTTGTTTTGTTTGTTTGAATGGATGTGTTTCACCTGCATTGTCCAATCAATAAAATATCTATCTATTTTACGGCACTAAAGAATAATAATAATAGTTACTAAAGGGGCGTTCACACCGGACTTAACTTCGGCGTCAAAAGCGTCAGGTTTCCATTGAAAGTGAATGGTGAAGCGCGTCAGGTGAAGCCAAGAGCCCCGGCGTCACTTGACGCGCGTCAAAAGCTTCAAGAGTCGCGCGTACTACGCGCTCACTTGAAGCTTTTGACGCGCGAAACGCTCGCGTATCACAACAATCCCTTTGACGCCGAAGCTGAGCATAGCTGAGCTTTTGAAGCTTTGACGCGGGCTTCAACCAATCAGGAGACGAGGAGCAGCAGCAGCAGAGGGTCTGTCTCTGTCATGGAGAGAAGTCATGTATCTGCTGCTGCTGTTTTATTGTCATTATTGTTATTAGTAATATTATTTGTATGAGTAGTATTATGAGTAGTAACATTCTGAGTAACAAAATCATTGTACACATGCTGTGTAGTAAACGTAGTTTATTTAAAATAAGAACAGGCTGACGATGAGTCAGCCTGTTCTTATTTATTCCTGGCAAGGCAGCTCCGGGCGGGCGAGAGCCGGGGAGAGGCAGGGAGAGGCAGGGAGAGGCAGGGAGAGGCAGGGAGAGGCAGGGAGAGGCAGGGAGAGGCAGGGAGAGGCAGGGAGAGGCAGGGAGAGGCAGGGAGAGGCGAGAGCGAGGCGGGGAGAGGCAGGGAGAGGCGAGCGAGAGCCGGGGAGAGGCGAGCTCCGGGGTTTGAGAACTCAAACCGGGCGAGTGACATGCGGAAGTACCGCTGAAAGCGAAACTCCTCCGTACGCAGCTCCTGGAGTAAATGACGGAACTCTGCAAACACTGCAGCCTCTCAAGTCTGTGGTGAACCCAGAACATGTTTTGTTGAAGCCCTACAACAACGTTATTTTGCTTTATATAATAAATAAAGGCTCGCTGCTCATTGAAAAATCCACCGCTGTCCTGACTACAGACAACAGAGAAGCTCCTCCCACCGGCGTCAGGCGCGTCACTCGCGTCAAAAGCTTCAAGCACCAAAATGACAAAACTATCCCGGCGTCAGTTGAAGCGCGTCAAAAGCTTTTTGAAGCTTTTGGTCTGAACGCGCCTTAAGAGTGAGTTATTCAATTATTCTTAATATTTGTATTATTGTAATCATTCTTTCCTATAGCCGTACACAGTCGTACTGTCATAGGATCTTCATGGACAATGGTCAGAAGTATAGTTCCCCACTGTGACCTGTGACCTGTGACCTGCAGCCTCAGTCTGTCTGTTGCTAAAGTCTCATGCTCACTCGTGCTAATGGCAATATGTAAAAGAGAAATGATCATGTTCATGGTTTTGTGCCACATTCGAAGGCTGTGGTATTGGATTGTCTACACAACTTGTACTGTATTTTAGGCCTGTAATAACAATCTTTAATCTGTGTTTTTCTTTCAATAAATCCATAATTGTTCAGACCATGATTTGCAGCTTGGTTCTAAGTGTGTTCTGTAATTACCCGTCCAGCAGACTGATGTACTTGTGCGGGATGAGGCCCTTGACTCCACTCGCCTCCCCTCTCCACCAATCACAGGAGGCCTTGCTGTGGAGTAGGAGGAGCTCTCCCTGTTTGAAGGACAGTTCTGCTGGAGACCTGGCTGCGTAGTCAAACATGGCCACAGCCTCCAGTTCTGAACAGAGCATCCAAAAAACATTCATTATTTCAGGAAAAATCCAGCCACCGGAAGCACCATGAGAGGATAAGGTTATTCTGTTTCACTGAAAGAGCTTAAGGATGAGCCTACATAACCACAATCCACAGTATGACTTTAATGAAAACATCTAAAATACATCTTTATCATTTGTATACACAGGTCAACAGAACTATTTTGACATGGATTTGAACATATTCACATTTTCAGATTCAAAAATTCAGCTGCATTCACAAAATACTGACTCCCATTGACTCCTGACTCTGGGCACGACTCTGTGCTCCTCCGAGTCCAAGTTGTACCCAAGCAGAGCGGTTTTAGACTTAGACAGACTTTACTTTACCCACAAGGGAAATTGCGTTGTCACAGTTGCTTGCATAGTATTCAACAATAAAAAATAACATCAAAGTAACAATCTAGAAATAAAAATAATAGTAAGATAATATCAATTCTCTGAGCCACAGGAAGCCAGTGCAGAGACCTGAGAACTGGACTATTGTGATTGTACTTCCTGGTTCAAATCCATGGATCAGAATCTCCAGGGCTTTAGACACTATACCTTTGATTCTGGTGATGTTTTTCTCGACGGTAAAACTGTTTTCTTAAGTGTAAACAGATTTGTATATAGGGACTGCATTAAGACCCAATAAAAAGTAAAAATCTGCACCAAATGCCTCAGACCTTTTCCGTTCTCTCAATTTTTAGGGATTTTGCTTCAAACTTAATGTGACGAGAATGTGTCTGATTGACTGCATTTTGGACATTACCTTCTTCACTGGGCAGATGCTCCGTCTCCCCGTCTCCTTCTTCTGTTATTGGTTCACTGAGACAGAAGACACTTTGTCATTGGTTGAACATTTAAGCGCACTTTCGCATAGGGATCATATCCATGTGTTTTTGGGAAATGTTTAAATACAATAGGAAGATCTTTGAGTGGCTTTGTTTATAGTCTTTCCTCTCCGGTGACGAGACTGGGTGGCAATGCTAGAGAGTTAGCTAGCTTGGAGAGAGGTTTAACATAACTCTTTGCCTGCCGTTGACGCCTTGTTGTGTGAGACTGGTGATTTCATTCAAACTTCCATCTACTTGACCGAGGATTAAAGGAGAACTCAACAAGCTAGAAACAAACTTATTTTTGATGATGAAAGTTGTCAGCCGAGTTTTTCAGAATCTGGTTTCAGATTTCTGATAGTCATAGCACACAATATTCTGTGGGTTTTGAAAATCTGCAAAAATCCTAAAAAAATGGCTGGCAGGCAATGAGTTAATCAAATAGTCCACTCTTGTTGTGTGGTTGGTTGACGGCTTGCTGGGGCCAGACATTTTTTTTCTGAATTCCTTTGGAAAAGAACTGCAAACTTGCGGGCGATTAGGAAAATGAACGCTCAGGAGAAAGCCAGGATTCTGGGATCAACAGAAAGAAAAATGTACCCGGTTTTACTGACACAGTGAGTGAGTATTTCTCTATTCTCCTTCGTAATCACCCACGACAGATTGGAATCCTGCGGTGACTCCAACCTGCTCTGACCTCAGATTTCAACACAACCACCGACTTCTGTTTCAGTGAAGGGAAGTGAAGAATAAATGTCTGCCAGGTCTCATTTGGGCTTTGGATTGGTCGCCTATACCAAATTTTAGCCGATCATTATATCTCCTCTGATCTTCTTGCTTTAAAGTGCCATATTTACAGTGCATTTCGCCCACTAGGTCTTATAAAATTCCAGTAAAGATGTAAACAAAGACCCTCCTATAGACGGATGCAGTTTCTCACCAGTATTCCTGCTCCAGCGTCATGTGCTTTTCGTAGACGGGCCCGGGCACCTCTGATTGGCTGGGGAAGATGACGTCGTGCTGGAGGATCAGGGTCTTGACCAGCTCGTTGACCTGCGGCTGCTGAGCGACCGCATCATCCGAGTCGACCCCTCGCAGCAGACTGGGCCCGAAGCACACGGCCAGATTATAAGGCTGCATCATGTTCTCGTCGCTGTACTGGGACACGCTGGAAGAACACACACACAACACATTAGTCCTACACAACCAACTGGGGTCTGGTTATACACTGGTAACGCATGCTAATAACAGGGTTTCAATGCAACACAAGGAAAGTACACAGTAAAAAGCGGATTCTAGCCTGGACAGAGGCAGGTGGGATTGGCTAATATACAGTACATATCAAAAGGACAAATGTATAAGGAAGCAGTCACACATTCACACACATGCGTTCAAACAGCGGTATACACTGTAAAAAAGAAAACGTTAGTTAGACTCAAAATTTCAAGGCAAAAGACTGCACAGAATTTTTGAGTTGAAGGCATCAACTTAGTTTTTTATGTTTTGAAGAACTGACTAACTATAAAGTTTTAAGTTTTAAGTTTTTCAACCATAAAATATCAAAGAATATATAACTAATAGCCCGGGATTGGATTTAGTGATGAGGGGAGACACTGACTCTTTGGTAAACTTTTAGCATGTTCTTTTGTTTTTTAAAGGGCCCTAATCTGTCATCATTAAAGGGCCCTAATCTGTCATAATTAAAGGACCCTAATCTGTCGTCATTAAAGGACCCTAATCTGTCGTCATTAAAGGGCCCTAATCTGTTATAGTTAAAGGGCCCTAATCTGTTATAATTAAAGGGCCCTAATCTGTCATCATTAAAGGACCCTAATCTGTCGTCATTAAAGGACCCTAATCTGTCATCATTAAAGAGCCCTAATCTGTCATCATTAAAGGACCCTAATCTGTCGTCATTAAAGGGCCCTAATCTGTCATCATTAAAGGGCCCTAATCTGTCATCATTAAAGGGCCCTAATCTGTCCAAAGCCATTAATAAAACCTGCTCTTTTCCAATACCTCTTTAACTGTAGTTCAGAGATATTTGAATTTCTAAAGTAGTTTTCCAGCCCCTAAATCTTGTTCATTTTAAAGTCCCGCCCTCCACCGTTTCACCAATCAGAAAGTCTGTGATCCGGGCGCCAGAACTCACTGCGTGGAGCTAATCTCACTGGTAAAGTACCATGTGGCGCAGAACTAAAAAAAGTCTCGTTATGATTCTCAAATCATTAACGACAAAACAAGGAATAAAACCAGGATTTCTATCTTTGTGAAAAAGGTGTTGGTTATAGATTTGTTGTTGACAAAACTCTTGTCTATTCAGCTGTTATGGTCCCAGCTGGATTCGTCTGCATATCTGGCAACCTGAGTCAGGGAGAGTGGGAGAGGCTGCAGTACCACTTTTGGCCACATTTTTTACATATTGCTGCTGTAAATTTCCTAATGTTTCCTAATTGCCTAATTTTCAAATGTCTATTCTTGGAGTTGGGTTTTATCAAATACATTTTGACAAAAATGCAACTTATTTTCTAGTGCAACTTATAAATGTTTTTTTGTTCTCCTTCTTTGTTTGCATTTACAGCACTTACACTCCTCCTTAAAAATACTGCATTACCTTATATAAAAGTGCACTCAAACAGCACATATGTATCTCACATCTCAGCAGTTTAGATTCACATCACAAAGCGGTCTAGAGAGAAACATTCATTTACTGATTCAGGAAAGCAAAAAGGTATCGCATCACGATGAGCAGAGGCCGAGGAAACGAGGAGACGATGGCTTTAATCTGAGCAGCTTTGTCCGGAACCGACTCGATTTCTGCAACAAGAAAAACCCCACAAGTATTTATAAATAACCACAGATTTCAACAGGTTCCTCATTGATGGGAACAAACGTGTTGAACGTGAATGGACTTGTAAACCAGTTTAAAAAGGTAGGTTTTGATGTGATTCGAGAATGACCAAAGAGTCCAGACCCATTTAAAAGGTGATAAATGAAAGTGTCAGAGTTTTTAATATCATAACTTAAAGACCTTATGCCGGGTTTAAAAAAAAAAATTGTGGCTATCAAAATTGCATGACAATGTCGATCTGAAATAGATTCCAGCAAAAAACGTGTTTTTCATGAATTTAAGTTGTCTATGCTCTAACCTGTGTGTGACGTCATAGCGGGTTACGCCCATGCATTGAAAACCATGGATCTATGCCACAGGACTGCCTTTTCTCTCTTCTCTCCACTGATGCCCAACACAATACTGCCCTCTACAGGTGACAATTGCTCACTACACTTAAATTGCCGTTTTGAGTGTGAAAATGTGTCAGAGGTGGGATTTGAACCCAAGTATCTGGATTGGCAGTCCATCGACACAACCACTGGACTATCTCAGTGCCGACAAGCAGTTGCAATCTAGTAGTAATTTCATACTCGCTGTACACATGGATATCCGCAAAAAAAGAACGAATACCAAATTGTAAACAACTTACAGCATTGAAACGTACCCGCTCTGACGTCACCAAGGGCTGTGAAGTTTTTTCGTCTCTAAGGGCGTTGCTATGGGGTTATTTCGATTTGGGGGGATCAGAAAAAAAAACAACAACTGATTTTGAAACCTTTAGTAGTTCTCTTCTAATATAAAATGGTATTAAAACTGTATTTCTAAATAAATCAAACCCGGCATAAGGTCTTTAAGCTACAGACTTACGGACACAGTCGAGCAGCTGGTTGTAGGAGTCGTAGGGGAACAGAGGAGGTTCCAGGCCCCTGAAGTACAGTTTGAGGACCCCAGCCACAGAGTCCAGGTCACACTCACTGTCCGACAGCGGGTCCTCTCCTGAAATACAAAGTAAACAAGCATCAGAAAGTGACACATGCTCTAAATACTGTATGTAAATATGGGAGTTAGTATATATATTTACTGGTGTCAAGCGTTTGCGCCAAATTGGCTGGCGGTAGGGTTGCCAACAGTTCCTTAAAATACAGAATGGTCCCGTGTTATAGAAAAACTATGTGCGTTCCCTTATTGAATTGATACGGGACGGCTTTTGTATTTATTTTATTCTATTATTTATAGACTGTTTGCTGTGTGCGCCTGAGCCTTAAATCCTTCTTTCTCTGCTGTAATGTGCAACGATGACATAAAACATTCTCCACTGTGGCACAAAAATTCTATATTCTCCAAACTGCTAGAAAGACTGTACCTCTCTCGAAAGCGTCTCTGATCAGATTGACCTCCCTCTGAGATCCAGGAACCCGGAAGATTCCCTCATGATGCAGACCTGAACAGAAGAGAGCAGGAACCACCGTAAGCACCGCACAGGCCTCACCAAACGGCCGCACTTGGCGTTTCTTACCGTGGAGGTTTATGAAACGAATGCAGCTCTCAACCACCACAGGGATCTGCTGCCCAGAACTCTGCACAAAGAGAGACGAAGAAGGAGATTAGAACGAGAGCTTGCAAAGATAACCACACAATGGCTTTGCAGAAGTGACTCGGGGGGGAAAATAAGAAAAGGCTTTTGGGCCATGTCTACGCAGATGTCCCGGTGTGGCCGCTCAATTGCAAATGCCGTTTTTAAAAAAGCAGTCCGTGGTAAAGCTGCAAATGGATTCAATAAAAACACTTAAGCAAAATCATTGAAGAGAGCGATGAAGTGAAGGACATCTTAACTACATGAAAGGTAGTTAGGGTGCAGCGTGCGAGGGATCGATTATGGAGGTGATCGACCGATGAAAAGCTCGGAAGACTGAAGACATCATTCAAGATTCAAGATTTTTTTTGCCATTTGCACTAAAACCACATTGGAAAAACTGTGCAAGACTTTTAGACACACCCCAGAGCTCCGGCCATGCGGATTGGTCAGTTAAAAAGGGGGAGGGACTATAATCTTATGGTTTTATAAGACCATAGATTATAGCTATTGAAAGGACAGTAGCTCAGTTGGTAGAGCATTGGCCTTTGAGCCTGTAGGTCGTGGGTTCGAGCCCACCGTGAGACCTACTTCACGACTCCCACTGATGTCTGCGGTTGTTGTGTCCTTGGGCAAGACACTTAACCCCACTTTGCCTGAACCCCCCGCTGAAAGATCTCAGCTCCATGTGGTCTCAGCACCTGCAGGAGGATCAGTGAGGGGCTGGTGCTCTGTGGACTGGGTGCAGCTCTGACTGCCACCCCCCCAACCCAGAAATAGATTAAGGGGAAGAAAATGGATGGATGGATAGATTATAGCTAGAGATTTTGTTTCATTTTAATTAGTATATAGCTATTGTTCATGTATCTTATGCTGTGTGCTCCTCATTCCTACTGTTCAGATTCAGATTAAAATGAATGTATTTGTCATTTGCAGTAAAACCACATCGGAATACGTTTTTAAAAGTCCCCAGTGTGCACAAGACAAGTACATACATAAAACATCAAAAGTACCAAAATAAAACAGTAAACAATTGTCACTGTGAGCTATAACTTGTGACGCAACACTGAAATTTCAATAAAAAATCTCTTAATCTTAGTCTTATGTGTCAGGCCCGCTTCACTAAACTACTAAAGCAACTTGAAAACAATGTTGCTGGTCAAACAAAAAATCAACAACAAAAGAATCTACCGTAAAACCTTAATTTATAGCAAACTTTTTTATGTTCATATTTGTCTCTGTGCAGCACTTTGCAAACTGGTTTATTAAATTAAAAACATTGGATGGGATTGGGTGTCTACGATAGATCAGGCCTGAAAAGCGTTGGGAGTAAAACATATTTGCAGCATGCAGAAGAAGGGGGACTATGGGTTGGATACCTGCGTCCGGGACATTCGCCTCCTCCTTCTGCACCAAGCCAAAAACAGAGTGGCAGAGACAGATAAGAAGAGAGGGGAGCGTAAAATATAAGGGTATAAAGAATCAGCAGCAAACGGGGGACACGAGGAGAGAGGAAACAGCGAAAGGCCAGAACAGTAATCCCTTCATAGAGGACACATGAAAGGAACCAAGGAAGGGAAGAAGCCGGAGTGAAGCCGTAAGCACCAGCAAACAGAGGAGCGCCAAATACCCCAGGGCATGGACCATGGTCTGTGCTACTGCAGTGACAGACCCAGGACATGGACCATGGTCTGTCCTACTGCAGTGACAGACCCAGGACATGGACCATGGTCTGTCCTACTGCAGTGACAGACCCAGGGCATGGACCATGGTCTGTCCTACTGCAGTGAGAGACCCAGGGCATGGACCATGGTCTGTCCTACTGCAGTGACAGACCCAGGGCATGGACCATGGTCTGTCCTACTGTACTGCAGTGACAGACCCAGGGCATGGACCATGGTCTGTGCTACTGCAGTGACAGACCCAGGGCATGGACCATGGTCTGTGCTACTACGTACCTCTGAGTCTTTGTGTCTATATGTACCTGTGTCTCTGTGTCTATATGTACCTGTGTCTCTCTTTGTCTATATGTACCTATGTCTCTTTGTCTATATGTACCTATGTCTCTGTGTCTATATGTACCTGTGTCTCTCTGTATCTATATGTACTTGTGTCTCTCTGTGTCTATGTCTCTGTATCTATATGTACCTGTGTCTATATGTACCTGTGTCTCTCTGTGTCTATATGTACCTATGTCTCTGTGTCTACAGTATATGTACCTGTGTCTCTCATTGTCTATATGTACCTATGTCTCTGTGTCTATATGTACCTGTGTCTCTCTGTGTCTATATGTACCTGTGTCACGGTGTCTATATGTACCTGTGTCTCTCTGTGTCTATATGTACCTGTCTCTATATGTACCTGTGTCTCTCTGTATCTATATGTACCTGTGTCTATATGTACCTGTGTCTCTCTGTGTCTATGTACCTGTGTCTCTCTGTGTCTATATGTACCTGTGTCTATGTACCTGTGTCTCTCTGTGTCTATGTACCTGTGTCTATATGTACCTGTGTCTCTCTGTGTCTATATGTACCTGTGTCTATGTACCTGTGTCTATATGTACCTGTGTCTCTCTGTGTCTATGTACCTGTGTCTATATGTACCTGTGTCTCTCTGTGTCTATATGTACCTGTGTCTATGTACCTGTGTCTATATGTACCTTTGTCTCTCTGTGTCCCTGGGTCTATCCTACTGCAGGGACAGAGCAGGTTTCTGAGGTTTAGATGAAGCTGCACAATCACTTTTAGGTCACGTCTTGAACTCTGCGTGGCTTAATCTCTGGTAAAAGATTAGGATCGAGGCATTGTAGCCGTAGCTTCACTTAGCAACGCAGCTCAGAACTCAGATCTATATGTGTTGGCATCTTGCTTTTAGACTTCAAATGGTCAAAATCTGTCCATCCAAAAACACACACACACACAACTATAACGCAAAGGAAAAGACTACATAAAAATAATAAATTAAATAAATAAATTAAAATAAATTGGGAAAAAAATTATATATCATAATAAAATGTGTATATATAAAATTGAATACAGGAAAAAATATGTGCAAATAATATTACTAACAATACTAATACACTGAAGAGGTAAAATAAAAATAAAAGCATAGGTACACACACGCATACATCAGTTTTTATTATGGCATTTTTAAAGCTGGGGTACCTAACTCGGCTCGTCCTTGTGTCTCTCTGTGTCTACATGTACCTGTGTCTCTGTGTTTATACGGTATGTGCCTATGTCTTTGTACATGTGTGTCTATATGTACCTGTATGTCTATATGTACCTGTGTCTGTCTGTGTCTATATGTACCTGTGTGTCTATATGTACCTGTGTCTCTGTGTACCTGTGTCTGTCTGTGTCTATATGTACCTGTGTCTCTGTGTACCTGTGTCTGTCTGTGTCTATATGTACCTGTGTCTCTGTGTACCTGTGTCTGTCTGTGTCTATATGTACCTGTGTGTCTATATCTACCTGTGTCTCTGTGTACCTGTGTCTGTCTGTGTCTATATGTACCTGTGCTCCCTTGTTGCTGGTCCATTGTGTCGTCTCTGTCCTTGTCCGTCTGTTTCTCTGGTTCCTGACTTTTGTTTGGATTTTCAGTTGGTTTTTCCCTGGACTTTTACTTCATCCTCTAAATTACCAAAACATATTTTTTTTCATTCAAAAATCCTTCATTTTAGGTCCAATATTTCCTGTGTTTACCACAACGTGACTTTTTTTATTTATTTTTTTAACGACTTTGTAAAGAGCAAATTGTAAGCCTTGTGTAAGCATTGTGTCACTTACAAACAGATATTAAAACACATTTAAAAGGAGTCTATGAAAGACTGGGAATTTCTAGCCATTTTTTTCCCACACTTTACCCATTTTAGAAAGACAATAGAACTTTTATTATTTGTAGGGATTTGTTTGATTGTGTCTGGCCCCGACTACAGCAGCAGTTCTGGTAGTTTAGTGTTACCTGAATGTAGGAGAGAATGTCTGTGTTGAAGAGTGAGTGGCAGAACTGAGAGACGGGCCTGGACTTCCGAAAGCGTACTGACCGAGCGCATTGCCCTCTGGGAAATATACAGTACATACATGTGGGTGAGTCATTCATATCTCGGGCACATGTATGGGCCCCTGCTCGGCTCTCCTCTCTCCAGGTGTCGGGACAATTCTAATGCAAAAGTTGTTACCTGGAGGGGTCACTGTTGACAGCTTCAGCTAAATGAAAAAAGACAAGAACAAAGGTTAGGAAAAGTGTTTAGAATGATTTTAAAGGTGACATACAAGGCAAAATGAGCCTAAACTAGCTTTAAACCTAGCCTAGCATTAGCATCCGTAAACTCTGGTGCATAATCATCTCCTACATGTACGTCTGGTCTTACCATGTGTAAACTCTGGTCCATGGTCATTTCCTACATGTACGTCTGGTCTTACCATGTGTAAACTCTGGTCCATGGTCATTTCCTACATGTACGTCTGGTCTTACCATGTGTAAACTCTGGTCCATGGTCATTTCCTACATGTACGTCTGGTCTTACCATGTGTAAACTCTGGTCCATGGTCATTTCCTACATGTACGTCTGGTCTTACCATGTGTAAACTCTGGTCCATGGTCATTTCCTACATGTACGTCTGGTCTTACCATGTGTAAACTCTGGTCCATGATCATTTCCTACATGTACGTCTGGTCTTACCATGTGTAAACTCTGGTCCATGGTCATTTCCTACATGTACGTCTGGGTCTGATCCTAGTGGCTGCAGTTTCCTCGGTTGAATCCCCTCCGACCAATCAGAGAGCGGGGGAGGCGGGTCTTGTAGGTTGGTGTCGGTGACGTCAAGAGTTTGCGCAGAATTTGCTGGTTGTAGTTTGTCAGAGAATGCGATAGTAAAATAATCTGTTCTGGTTCAATCCAAATATCAAGAAACTGAATCCGGAGCAAGAAGAATGTTTAGTAAATGTCATTGAAGCGAAGATGTTGTGGCTCTACTCCCCACGGGCTCCGTTAGTGGCAAAGGAGATGGCTAAAGCTAGGATACATGCTAAAGCTAGGCTAAATGCTTCACTCACTCTGGAGCATTACATACGTCACAGTAAACTCAGATCCAATGGTTTCAATCTGCAAAAGGAGTTAACCCCTCCCACCTGTCAATGAAGCAAATCCAGACCTCAGAACAAAATGAAATGAGTATAATGGTATGATAAGACCAGGCTACTTTAAAGTATGTAAAAACAAACAGTCAGACAGTTGTTTTCAGATCCATCCCTGCTAATATCAGGAACTCCATCCCTCCCTTCTGTAGCCCCTGTCTTCTGTAGTAGTAGAATGTAATTGTACCACTATATCTTACTCAGGCCAGTTCTTTGCCTTTTAAAACAAAAGTAGTTCCCCTCACATTTGTTTTGGCAATTTAGTTTTCTACTTGATTCACAATACATTTTCTACATAAGATAAAATTTCACATTCTAAAACGTGAAATGACAAAATACACTCATTAACACTTTTGATAACAAAGCTTTTTTATATTATTTTAAGAGTGTACGCAGCAGAGATCTGGGTTGGCTGGCTCCGAGGCGGGTTGTCAACATATGCTCATTGATAGTGCCAGACTATAGCTAAAGGGGGATTAATATGGAGGGGGGGGGTAATACACTGTCATATTAGCAGCCCCAAATCTTTTACCATCAAACCCTTCAGAGGAATGGGGGTTCTATCACCCTACACCAAGTTTCTGATTTTAAGTAAGGATTGAAATTTAAATCACAAAGGTTCATAATCATTTCTGAATATTCATGTGTTTTGAATAGTTTTAAATACTAATGAATTGATATGTGATAAAAGGCTGGAGCCATGGATCTGTAATAATATCTGGATAGAGCTGTCCCATCAATGGCCACAGGGGGCGCTGTGGCACTGTAGACTAAATTCACGAGGGCTACATGGAAAAAAGTCCCATAGAACTCAGTGTAAACTAAAACAGCTCGACCTCAGCTGACAGAGAACCTGACAGAGAACCTACAGCTTTCATAAAGGTCAGATTTTGTGGGGATTTTAGTGTCCCTTGTCATCCTGAACTTTTTTTCTTCTGAAATCCTTCGGTTTTCTTTAAATCCACACTTTACTGCCACAAACTCTCCTCGATAAATGAATGGGGCTAGTGCAGCTAATGCATGCGGCCATTTTGAAAAAGTCCACAGAAGGCATAAGTGGTGGACTTAAATGTGTCTTTTTACAACTAGAGTACCTTTCTGTATGGCATCTTGTAGAAGGTCATGTTTGGCTTGAAGTTTGGAGGACAGGGAGCTGCTGATCAGGAACTCCTTCACTTTCTAAAGCAGACAAATGCACACACATGTACAAGCAGAACTTAACTCACACAATCTAGATCAATACTTCATACTGTGAGATAGAAAGTCTCCGTCTCCTGCTGATTGGCTCTACGCTTGGCAAGAGCAAGTTTAGGGGCAGTGGTTCCCCCAGGCGGCTCGTGTGATTGGCTACTTGGCACATCAGGGGCGGGGTTACTGTCGCTGTCGCCCATACTGTCCAGCAATGCAGTGAGTGTGGCTTTGAGGGTTTTACTGATCTGTAAAATACACAACACCACACTTAAAGCTGATTCTAGACATCAACAATGAGTCACAAAGCTGCCAGACTGAAACATTGATTGCTTTTTTTAATCGCACGCCGCTGACCTCCTCGGTTTCCAGTGTGACAGCGGCGAGGCGGGACTGGAGCTGCTGGAAGCGGGTCTCGAGCTCATACCGGACCTGGCTCTCCGCACTGACCTCACACACCTAGAAAAAACACAAAATAAGCCTTCATGAGGGATTGACGAAAACGAGATCTTGAGTTGCAGCCAGTGGGAGCGGGTCCCGGCTCCAAAGGTCCATGAGCATGTGTTGTATGGTAAGTTGTATATCTATAATAATGGCAAATGGAATATAACAATGTAATTAATGCGGTAATTAGACAGATTTGTAAGGTCATTTTATCATTTATGTTCTAGATCTTACGTTGGCTATATGACTAAATGGAATGGACAAAATAAACGTAATTTAAAGCAGCAATATATAAAAATACGGGTACGGGGTCCTCTGCTGAGGGCCGTCCGGGCCCTGTATGACCGGAGCCAGAGCTGCATTCGCATCAGCAGTAAGTCAGACCTGTTTCCGGTGCATGTTGGCCTCCGCCAAGGCTGCCCTTTGTCACCGGTTCTGTTCCGGTGGGGGGTCCGGTTCGGGGACCAGAGGATTTCATCTCTGCTGTTTGCAGATGATGTTGTCCTGTTGGCTCCAACGAACCCGGACCTGCAACATGCACTGGGACGGTTTGCAGCCGAGTGTGAAGCGGCTGGGATGAGAATCAGCTCCAAATCCGAGGCCATGGTGCTCGACCGGGGTATCTCGGAGTCTGCAGTCAGAGCTGTATCGGACCGTCGTGGAGAAGAGCCGAAAGGCAAAGCTCCTAATTTACCGGTCAATCTTCGTTCCCTCCCTCACCTATGGTCATGAGCTGTGGGTAATGACCGAAAGAACGAGATCGCGGATACAAGCGGTCGAAATGAGCTTCCTCCGCAGAGTGGCTGCTCTCTTAGAGATAGGGTGAGGAGCTCAGTCACACGGGAGGAGCTCGGAGTAGAGCCGCTGCTTCTCCACGTCGAGAGGAACCAGTTGAGGTGGCTCGGGCATCTGTTCCAGATGCCTCATGGACGCCTCCCTGGGGAGGTGTTCCGGGCACGTCCCACCGGGAGGTGTCTCTCAGCTGGCCTGGGAACGCCTTGGGCTCCCCCCTGACAAACTGGAGTAAGTGTGTGTGGATAGGGAAGTCTGGGCATCTCTGCGACCCGGCAACGGATGAAGCGGAAGAAAATAGAAGGATGGATGGATGGATTTAACTCATAGGAAATAGACTAAATCAAAGAGCAATTAAGCACTAATTCTGGAATTATATAGTATGCTGGAAGCACACTGGCTTGATTCAACAGGTGGCCCTTTTAGTTGATAGCGACATAGAAAATCTTGACAATAATAGCAAAAAATTCCGTCGAACACAGGTGCATTTCACATGCGATTAGAACAATTTTCAACAAAAATAAGTCCTTCTGTCCACATATGTGGAGCGGTCCAGACAATTGTTTTTAAATTGTAATTATTGTAAAATGTACATGCCATAACAAACTTACATCACTTATAAAACTATCTGAACAAGAATACTCGGATTGGAATTTTTACTTGGTGGATCTTTTGGTTGGGAACCTGCATGTGAACTTTCCTGTGCGCGGTCAGCCATTTTGTTTTGTGTTAGCTTGTGCTGTAATTCCTCCAACACTGCTAGAGGGCAGTGTAGGTATTGCTGTATGTGGACCCCAGGCCCCAATAAATCAGGATAAAGTATTATGTTTGTACAGCCCAAAATGTGATGTCCACACAGGTGGACGGCAGGTCTTAGGAGGTTAGTGATGACTTGACATAAAAATCTTACATATTGCTTCTTTAACCCTCAGTTCTGGCTTCAAACGCAGATTCAGCAGGACGGTGTTTTACCTGGTCCCCTTCGTGCGGGTGGTAGTTGAACCTAAAGGGCAGGCAAAAGGCAGTGTCGTGCTGCTGCAGGAGAGCGTCTCTGTCTCCGCTCTGGTCCAGGGAAGTCACCGCCGTCTCCAGCTGCTTCAGACCGCACTCCTCTGTTTTAAGAATGCGCCATCTATTGGTCAGGTAGTATTTCATCACTCTCTCCACAGACTGGTGGAAGCCCAAGTCACAGCACTGAGCCAGGAAATAATAACAAAAAACACTGTCAATATTGAATCCAGCAAACATGTAGAAAAGGTCAGTCGGGTTAGGGCGTGTTGAACTATGACAGAAATGAAGGAATGCACTGATCCAGCTCTTTCATGCGTCGTGATAGTCATTTTTTATTAGTGAAAGGACAGAAAACAGATGTGTCCAGCAAATCACAGCAATAACCATTAATTATTATTTTTACATCTATTGAAAGCCCAATAAGGATATCATCTGCTGTCATAGTTCAGATATTTTACAGTTAAAAGAGGTTATTCTTGGGTTTCATTAAACTGGCCAGTAGGGGGCGAGGGAGCAGAAAACCAATGAAAACCATGTAAATCGTCTCTGTTTTGGAGTCAAAAGGCTCTCCTCCTGTGCGGTGAACAGTTGTTGTAACGGTCTTAAGCGGGGACACTCAATTCTAAGGGAGCACTAAAACATATTCATCAAGAGTCTTGATTTTGGACATTTTTGGAAAGAAAAACAGAATACATTTCTGCGTTTCATTGGGGTGGCCTACAGTGTGAGTGAGCTGGGAGCTGTTGCTAAACATTCAAACCAGAAAAAACCTGCAGAAATGGGTATAACTGAATCATTATAACACATGCTGGAGCAATACTTTTCCACGTGAATGTTTCTGTTTTCCAAAGGTGGAAGCCACTGGCATCGTGGCAAATGCTGATTGGACGGTCTATGTATCACATGTTTTCGGTGAAATTTAGTTTGTGTCTTGTCTCTACGACCGACAATAAAACATGTCTTCTGTTTTTCTGACACAATCCCAGACATTGTCATTTTCCGCAGTTGGTGGAGGATGCAGGCATTGTCTGAAGAACTAACATCTACAGACAGAGAGAGACTAGAGAGAAACCAGAGAGAGACCAGAGAGAGACCAGAGAGAGACCAGAGAGAGACCAGAGAGAGACCAGAGAGAGGGTAGAGAGAAACCAGAGAGAGACCAGTGAGAGACCAGAGACCAGAGAGAAACCAGAGAGACCAGAGAGAGGCTAGAAAGAGAAACCAGAGAGAGACCAGAGAGAAACCAGAGAGAGACCAGATAGAAAGACCAGAGAGACAGAAGAAGAAGAAGACATTGTCCGCAGTTGGTGGAGGATGCGGGCATTGTCTGAAGAACTAACATCTAAACACAGACAACGTTTCTTTTTCTTTAGAAACTTTTAACAGCTTCAAAACCTCCAAGTCCAGTCTAGAGCCTTGAATTTCCCGGTGCCTGATCCACCACATTTTCCACAACATCCACCAGAATTGATCCATCCCTAAAGCGTTTCCCAATCCTTCCATTAAGCTCCATGAAGTAATGACACAAAATATATATGTAAAGAAAATAAAACCTTCATGTCTCTCACAGATGTGTCCTTACATCGATAAGCGTGCTGACATCCTGCAGGTAGTACTTGTTCATGGCGGCGTTGGCTGCTGCCAGATTCAGCAGATAGTCATTTCGAGCTTTAGTGCACTTCAGCTGCGTCTCTTGCATTCGACCGTGTCTCTGTCAAGCACAAAGTCACACAAATGTATGTACAGGGTTATTAGCTGCTAGAAGAACATATTCATTTATAATATCATGCAAAACCTATTTTCTTGAGATTGTCTTTTAGTAGAAGAAGAAGATTACTTCCACACTCCTTATAGGCAAAGAGAGAGACCAGAGAGACTCAATTTTTTACTATTTTTTGTAGTGTAGATATTGGTAGACACCCATGTTTTTTTTGTTTTTTTTCCCCAAACTAAAAAACTAGCTCCATGGAAAAATAATACAGTGGGATTATATGTAGAACATAGACACAGAGAGACCACAGAGAGGCTAGAGAGAGAGGCTAGAGAGAGACAGACCAGAGAGAGGCTGGAGAGAGAGGCAGAGAGAGAGACCAGAGAGAGGCTGGAGAGAGAGGCAGAGAGAGAGACCAGAGAGAGGCTAGAGAGAGAGAGACCAGAGAGAGGCTAGAGAGAGAGAGACCAGAGAGAGACCAGAGAGAGATACCAAAGAGAGAGAGACCAGAGAGAGATACCAGAGAGAGAGAGAGACCAGAGATGAGACCAGAGAGAGACCAGAGAGAGGCTAGAGACAGACTGGAGAGAGGCTAGAGAGAGAGACCAGAGATGAGACCAGAGAGCGACCAGAGAGAGGCTGGAGAGAGAGGCAGAGAGAGAGACCAGAGATGAGACCAGAGAGAGACCAGAGAGAGACCAGAGAGAGACCAGAGAGAGGCTGGAGAGAGAGGCAGAGAGAGAGAGACCAGCGAGAGGCTAGAGAGAGATACCAGAGAGAGAGAGAGACCAGAGATGAGACCAGAGAGAGACCAGAGAGAGACTAGAGAGAGGCTGGAGAGAGAGACCAGAGAGAGAGAGACCAGAGAGAGAGAGACCAGAGATGAGACCAGAGAGAGACCAGAGAGAGACCAGAGAGAGGCCAGAAGAAGAACAAGGTCCTTTTTTCGTCCCACAGTGGGGAAATTTTATCTTTCAGCCACTAAAAGAAATACACTTTTTGAATCATTATAGTTTTTCCAAGTCTCGGTGAAGCATTTATACTGTATATGTAAGTATTTATATTTGTATCACTCCCTGTATCACAATAGTAAGCATATACACATTACAGCAGTGCTTTTGCCTTCTTCAGGTGTGTGCACAGACACAGGAAGTGGTCGATTGTGAGAGCAGATCGCTTCCTCCGCCACGTTCAGGGCCATCGCTTCTGTCACCTTTTCCATTAATCTTTCTATCTTCTTGACGGAGCTCCGCCTCTGCCCTCCTGATTGGCCGATACCGAGCTCAGCTGATCGCTCGGCCTCCTTGAGCTTCCCCTCAGCGATCATACAGTCTGTGTGGTACTGGTTGTATGTCTTTAAGGCCTGCAGAGGAGCACAAAGTGTGTCTTGGTGACAGTAATATTTAACGTTGTTTTCATTGTGATTTCAGTTGACTCACAGTCTGAAGCTCAGTGGTGACCTTTAGCAGCTCGTCCTGCATCTGGGTTCCCACTTCTTTACTCTGGAATACAGTTAAGGGAGGGATATCACAGTGGGTTAGGAACAAAGCCCTTTCAACATCCATATACATCCACAACTGTTTTTTTCTGAATGCACTTTACCTCCACGCCTGTTTTGGGATGAATAGTGCTGCTATAATCTCTAGTTTGACTTTTATTACCTGTGGTCTGTATTTGTTATTCGCCAATTGTCACTGTGTCTCTTTCAGGGACACACTGATTAAGGTTAAAAAAAATAAAAAGAAAAGAAAACATTGGGTATTTTATAAGTGAAGATTCTAGTTTTTCTGGCTGTTAAATACATCTGTTGAAGCACATTGACTTGTTTTACAGAATTAAAGGAGAATCAAACTCTGCCTGACTCATGTTGCCAGATAAGCAGAATGGACAAGAGTTTTGTCAACAACAAATCTATAACCAACACCTTTTTCACAAAGATAGAAATCCTGGTTTTATTCCTTGTTTTGTCGTTAATGATTTGAGAATCATAACGAGACCTTTTATAGTTCTGCGCCACATGGTACTTTACCAGTGAGATTAGCTCCACGCGGTGAGATCTGGCAACCCAGATCACAGACTTTCTGATTGGTGAAACGGTGGAGGGCGGGACATCGAAATGAAAACATCAAGATTTAGAGGCTGGAAAAGTAATTTAGAAATTCAAATATCTCTGAACTACTGTTATCAGTTAAAGAAGTATTGGAAAAGAGCAGGTTTTATTAATATGACAGATTAGGGCCCTTTAATGTTGACAGATTAGGGCCCTTTAATGATGACAGATTAGGGCCTTTAATGATGACAGATTAGGGCCCTTTAATGATGACAGATTAGGGCCCTTTAATGATGACAGATTAGGGCCCTTTAATAATGACAGATTAGGGCCCTTTAATGATGACCGATAAGGGCCCTTTAATGATGACATATTAGGGCCCTTTAATGATGATAGATTAGGGCCCTTTAATGATGACAGATTAGGGCCCTTTAATGATGACAAATTAGGGCCCTTTAATGATGACAGATTAGGGCCCTTTAATGATGACAGATTAGGGCCCTTTAATGATGACAGATTAGGGCCCTTTAATGATGACCGATAAGGGCCCTTTAATGATGACATATTAGGGCCCTTTAATGATGATAGATTAGGGCCCTTCAATGATGACAGATTAGGGCCCTTTAATGATGACAAATTAGGGCCCTTTAATGATGACAGATTAGGGCCCTTTAATGATGACAGATTAGGGCCCTTTAATGATGACAGATTAGGGCCCTTTAATGATGACAAATTAGGGCCCTTTAATGATGACCGATTAGGGCCCTTTAATGATGACAGATTAGGGCCCTTTAATGATGACAGATTAGGGCTCTTTAATGATGACAGATTAGGGCCCTTTAATGATGACAGATTAGGGCCCTTTAATGATGCAGTAGTTACCCTCTTGTGCAGGCGGTGTGTGTCCTCCGTGCTGTGCGTTAGTCGCTGGGTCAGAGTGTTGCAGCAGGTGTCCCCCAGAGATGCATGCTCCCGGCTCATCAACCGAGTCTGGGTGAGGAGGACGGTCCAGACCTGGCACACGGACTGGCCCCACTGCTCCTTCCTGCGACAAAGCATTAAACACAGCTTGGCGCTCATCAACCGCTACAACATGTAAAGTTTACACTGCAAAAGATGATTAAATATCAAGTAAACTTAAATTAAGGTCATATTTTTTCAACTTTTTCCATCTTTTCCCTTTAATACTCAATTTAAAGGGAGTAATCTTTTTCTAGACCATCAAAACCTCCGACCAAACACCCATCCACTCACTCATTACATTGAGTCCTATTATCCAATTCTACAGGTTTTCAGTGATAGGGGAAACCGGAGCACCCAGAGCAAACCTACAAAGACACGGGGAGAACATGCAAACTCCACTCAGAAAGCCCCTGTTCCAGCCGGGATTCAAACCCAGGACCTTCTTGCTGTGTAAAGGGAGACATGTTTTTAAAACCATATCATTTTGCTTTGTCCCATTGGATAATCTTGTTTTAAGGCAGTCAAAATGTGCTTAAAGTAAGAAACACTTTGACAAATGTTAGCAATTTTTTACTTATTTTCATAACTTTTTGCAGTGTATTCATCCACTGAAGCAAACTAAATTAAAGCCGCAAGCGGCGTCGAACGGCCCTCGCCGCACCCCGCGATTCCCCGCACCGCGCGCACTCCCCACACCGCTCACTACGCCACCCCGCACCAAGCGGATCTGCACCACGCCGCAACGCGCCGCTCCACAACGGCCCGCACTTCGCCGCACCACACCGTACCACGCAGTACCGCGCAAAGGAGGTGGCGCCGCCGTGTGATGATTTGTTTCATCACACAATAGAAGAATGTTATTCATTCTTCTATTGTGTGATGATGTGGAGCGATTTTGAGGCGAATCTGTGAAACGGTCGAGGAGGAGAAGATTTCCAACCGACATGTGTGAAAACTATTGCGGATAATTTTTCCATTTTGCAGTGAAATTCATGGGGTTCCTGTTTGTCAGAGGGCGGGGCCATGATAAAAAAATGTCTTGTCTTGACTTGAGGAACATGTGTACCGAATTTCATAGTTCTACGACAAACTTGACCTCCGAAAACTCCCATAAGGGCATTATTTTGGCTGTTGTAGGTGGCGCTGTTCTGGCATTTTTTTAGTCCCATAAAAATAAACACCAAAATATAAAAATTTTCACCAGGTCTGATGTCTGGGCAAAATTTTACAACTTTTCATGCATGTTTGTTCCCACGGCAACCCTGTTATTCTAAACGTGTTGGAATGCAGTGTGGACCTGGGACAACAGAGGTGAAGGTTGGCGAGTTGTTTTTGTTTTTATCCTTCTGTTTTTGCATGTTCTATCCATGTCGCTTTTTTTGACACACCACTAAAGAGAAACCCTCCTAGACACACACAGATATTGTACTTTATGATGGGTCCACCCTTATGATATTTGTTCTATCAGTAAACGCATGCATGTGTGTGTACATATTTATAGACTAATGCCCACAATTGTAAACCGCTTTGACTCTGGTCTGTGAAAGGCGCTTTATAAATAGATAAAGATTGTTTTAAAATTGCAACCAGGTGTGTCTGCCTCAGCCTGAAACATCAGAATCCTTTTACTGCCATGTGAGTAACAGGAAGTCACCAACTAGGAAATTACTTTGGCTCTCGGTCTGTAAATAAAAGACACTGATTGGGAGCAACATAACTGCTGATTTTTTTCACATTTTCCACGTTATAGACTTTTTTAACCCGGCACACTAGTCCGGACTACAGATGTGCGGCCTTATTTGAAACCGAGTTGTTTTTGCCTTCATGCTTCTCTGAGCTTCATGAGTGAGGAGTCGGGGTAAAGGGCAGACACTCACTTCTTGGTCTTGTGCGTGAACCTCTCGGTGAGTTTGTCCAGAGCCCGAGCGTACTCGGACTCGATGTCTCCACGGCGACGGAGGAACTCTGACAGGTCTGAGAGCTGCTGCTGCTTCACGTCCACCTGAGAGTCCAGGATCTTCATCTGCTCCGCCAGCTGCGCCCGCAAGTCTATGGAGAGCAAAAACACAGTGGTAAGCCATAGTATGTATTGGAATTATTTTTTGAGACTTTACAACTTTTAGGAGCTACTAAAACACATCATGTATGGCACATGTGTCAAAGTCAAGGCCCGATCCGGCCCGCGACTGAATTATCTATGGCCCCCGGGATGATCTTGGATCGTTGCCATTGATGCATTAATACGTCAATAGCGTTTTTCACTATTTTCTTGTTCCCAGATGTCTATTATATCTAATATGTTTGGGGATTGGCTTTAGAGCATATTTTATCGAGCCAGCAGGTGGCACCAGCGCTGCCTCTGGATGTTAATAAACATGGAACTAGTCCGGCCCTCGCAGCAATTTTTTTTTTTGGCTTTCTGATATACTTGACTTGACATGCCTGATGTATGGTCTTATCACACCATCATACTAATTTCATCTCGTACTAAGGTCTGGATTTCCTCCATTGACGCCATTAAAAGGTGGGAGGGGTTAACTCCTTTTGCAGATTGAAACTGAGTTTACTGCGACGTAGGTTATGCAGCCGAGTGAGTGCGGCATTTAGCCTAGCTTTAGCATTTAGCCTAGCTTTAGTCATCTCCTTTGCGGCTAACAGATATTTGCCAAACATTTCTCTTGCTCTGGCTTCAATTTCTTGATATTTGGATTGAACCGGAACAGATTATTTTACTATCGCATTCTCCGACAAATTACAACCAGAAAATTCAGCACAAACTCTTGACGTCACCGACACCGACCTACAACACCCGCCTCCCCCGCTCTCTGATTGGTCAACCGAGGAAACTGCAGCCACTAGGATCAGACCCAGATGTATTTATAGTGCTTTTCACACCATAAATGCTAAAATAAATACAAATACCATTTCAGTTTTCAAAATGACTAACTAACAAACGCTATGGACTCATTTTCATGATTTGAGTGTGACTGAATACTATTATTCTGAATTTGAATTGTTAATCACTATGGCAACGGTCTTAAAGCCCACTGATCATTTTGCGCAGTGTGATGTATAAGAAGATACATCAGGAACATAGAAAATAGAAAACAAGTACCAGGTTGGTCTATTTTCTAAGGCCGTTTGCGTTTTTTATGTGCTGAACGAAGCCAAGTGGATGAGGAGGAGGAGTAATAAGGCAACCCCATGTGTTTTTCACAGTCCAATGCTCACACACGCAAATGAGTACAGTGGAGCAGACGACACGAGGGCGATCCAGAAGTAATGTGCGACAGCGGATTATGAAATATAGGTCTATAGGACTATTTATATCCAGATTCCTGACATAACCTCTGTGTACATGAAAACATCTGTGCCAAGGCTGTGTGACCGGCTTAACCATGGGAATCAGTGAGAGGACAGAAAATCTACACACTATACCTGCAAATACACTGACGTACACAAACAAGCAACGATTCACAAAAACAAATCAAATATAAACAAGTTTGAAAGCTTGAAAATGACTAGTTGTTTAGTTACTTGCCCATATTCTTTAAAGTACTCAATAACAAATGGATCACAATAAGATAATTAACAATAAACTAAATATTGTACATGTTCTTGTAGAGACAAAAATGAATCTTAATCCTTTTATTTTATTACAATAAAACTTTGATTAGATTTGTTTCACCAACACTGCAAAGAAGATGTTATAATTGCAAGGAAAATATCTACGGCCTACTTTCTGTGTACTAGTACTAGGATACAATAGCATACTATAGCAATAATACAGCACTAGAATACAATGATATAAGAAGTTGCAGTGTTAGAAGTATATAAATAACTATTTAAAATAGACCTCAAAGTCCAACATTATAAATTGACCAACTTCCTCTGCCCCGATGTGATTTCACATTTCAACATGTATGTGCAGAGTGCAGCCAGTCTAACAGCAATAGGTGAAGTCCTCACTAAGCATTTTACCTGAACCTAGTATTCAAATATCATCTCATCATCTCATCTTCGCCTGTGGTCCCGTTTGGGACATAGGCCGCCGACCAGCTTCCTCCAGGCATCTCGGTTCTGGGCGAGTCTCTCCAGCTGCCCCCACGTCTTTCCCATCTGCTTGACATCTGCGTCCAGATCTCGGCGCCAGGTGTTTCTAGGTCGCCCTCTCTTCCTCTTTCCTTGAGGATTCCAGGTGAGAGATTGTCTAGTTATACTGGACGCGGACTTGCGGAGGGTGTGACCTATCCATCGCCAGCGTCTCTGAAGGATAGCTTCGTCAACGGGCTGCTGGTTCGTTTTCGTCCATAATTCTTCATTGGATATCTTTTCTGGCCATCGGATTTTGAGGATCTTCCTGAGGCAGGAGTTAATGAAGACCTGGATTCTCTTTATGGTGACCACAGTGGTTCTCCAGGTGTCTGCTCCATAGAGGAGTATTGGCTTCACGATGGTATTGAAGAGCCTGATCTTGGTGGTGATGCTAATTGTGCTGGATCCCCAGATATTCTTCAGCTGTTGGAAGGCTGTTCGCGCTTTACCGATGCGGGTTCTGACATCTTCATCCGTTCCCCCATATTTATCCAGGATGCTGCCGAGATATGTAAAGCTGTCTACCTCCTCCAGCGCCTCGCCTTGGACTGTGATGGGTGTGTTGTTGGATGCATTGATCTTAAACACCTTGCTCTTCCCTCTGTTGATGTGGAGGCCCAGTCTAGCGGAGTTGTTTGCTACCCTGCTGGTCTTTTCCTGCATCTGTTGATGGGTGTGGGAGAGAAGGGCCAAATCGTCAGCAAAGTCTAGATCATCTAACTGTTCCCAGAGTGTCCACTGGATTCCATTTCGCATCTGGTTTGTCGAAGTCTTCATTACCCAGTCTATGGCCAGCAAGAATAGGCAAGGTGAGAGTAAGCAGCCTTGCCTCACTCCGGTTCTCACTCCAAAGGCGTCAGTGAGCTGTCTGCCATGGACGATTCTACAGGTCATCTCTTCGTAAGATTTCCTGATGATGTTGGTGATCTTTTCTGGCACACCGTAGTGTCTCAGTAGTTTCCATAGGGATTGCCGGTCCACGCTGTCGAACGCTTTTTTGTAGTCGATGAAGTTGACGTACATGGGCGAATTCCATTCCAAGGATTGTTCCAGAATGATGCGCAGGGTTGCGATCTGGTCCGTGCACGATCTCTCTTTTCGGAAGCCGGCTTGTTGGTCACGAAGATGCGGGTTAAACACTTTTCCTGGTATGGACAACAGCGTTATTCCCCTGTAGTTGGAGCATGAACTGAGGTCACCTTTCTTTGGGAGCTTGATGAGATATCCCTCTTTCCACTCTGCTGGTATCTCTTCTTCTTCCCATATCTTGATGAAGAGCGGGTAGAATAGCTCTACACAAGTATCGACGTCAGCCTTCAGCGCTTCTGCCGGTATGCTGTCGGGACCTGCAGACTTGCCGTTCTTCAATTGCTTGATTGCGCTGTGTATTTCTTCCTTCGTGGGTGCGTAGCACTTGATCGGAAGATCACTAGTGGCTGGCAGTATCTCCGGTGGGTTCTCAGGAGCTGGCCTGTTCAGTAGCTCCTGGAAGTGCAGTATTCAAATATACTGTTAATTAAGTAATTTTTATTTATATACCACCTTTCACAGACCAGAGTCTCAAAGCGGTTTACAATTGTTATTTTTTGGGCATTTGTCTCTCACTCCACACAGAGATGGGAGCGGGGCCAGTACAGGAGGCGCATGCCAGAACTATTGTACATATTTTTAGTGGTAGGGGAAACCGGAGCACCCGGACGAAACCTACGCAGACACGGGGAGAACATGCAAACTCCACTCAGAAAGGCCCTGGTCCGACCGGGATTCGAACCCATTCAAACTCTCTTGCTGAGAGGCGAGAGTGCTATCCACTCAGCCACCATGCCACCCAAAACAAAATGCAAGTAAACTACAAACCTAGTCGGTGAATGTATCACTAGGTTGTTTTTGAAACTACTTTTATGCTACTCAAACAGTATTTTTACGTGCGCCCAGGTGGTATTGTGATAACCAATGTTTATCTGTTTGCCTATGAGCAAGTTAACTTCTCAATGATGAACAACTGAATCAATTTTGGAAGTGGTCAGAATGGAACTTAAATGGAACATCTCTTTCTCTGATCTCTCTCTGTGACTGTGATGTCACCAAACCACACAGTCGCAGAACCAACAAGCAAACTTTCAATGCTGCAGCGATAAAAGTGAAGCAGAATCGTAGACTTTGTGGTAAATTCCGCAGACGTAGCAGACTCTGACAACACTTATATCTTTGCTGTTTGTGTAGCACTGCTGTAGGGGACTATGGTGTCTCAAAGCGAAGATGTAGCCTGATCTTAGCCATCCATGAGTTCCGTTAAATTATAATTTCATACATGTAGGTCTAGTCCCAGTGTCTGCAATTACATCGGTTGAATCCCATCCGACCAATCAGAGAGCGGGGGAGGCGGGTGTTGTAGGTCGGTGTCGGTGACGTCAAGAGTTTGTGCTAAATTTACTGGTTGTAGTTTGTCGGAGAATTCGATAGTAAAATAATCTGTTCTGGTTCAATCCAAATATCAAGAAATTGAAGCCGGAGCAAGAGGAATGTTTAGTAAATGTTAATGCTGCAAAGATGTTGTGGCTCTACTCCCCACAGGCTCCGTTAGTGGCAAAGGAGATGGCAAAAGCTAGGCTAAATGCTAAAGCTAAGCTAAATGCTAAATGCCTCACTCACTCGGGCTCATTACCTACGTCACGGTAAACGTTTCAATCTGTAAAAGGAGTTAACCCCTCCCACCTGTTAACGAAGTCAATGGAGCAAATCCAGACCTTAGTATGAAATGAAATTCGTACAATGGTGTGGTAAGACCAGGCTAGTGCAGATGTAAACAAGGCAATGAGGATCCTATTGTCGTCGCTGTGTATTTTCCAGACTTGATCACGACACCTTTCTTTATCCTGAATCCTTTTCTTCTCACTGTGTCTGTGGATTCTGTCTGTTCTTCCTGCGTGTGTTGCTGCGTACACAGCCCGGGGGTGAATGGATGTGAGGAGACAGCATCGCTAATACTTCTATAAATACTTCCTTGTAGTACAGTACACAGAGCCAGACTACGCAGAGGAGCGCATGACCCGCACACTGCTCTCATGACCAAATGTTATATCTGCACGCTCCGTTAGCAGACTTTGATCCCATCGTTTATCGGAACAAAGGGAGTGAAAACACGCAAAGCATCATGGAGAAGGTTTTGCAGTTTAACATCTCCACCATGAAGAGAGATGTTACTTTGGCAAAGGTCATCTGTAGTGGAAGTGCTGACCCTCATTAAAGTCAAGCCAAGTGGTTTAGAAGTGCCAATAGTGTGCCGTTCAATTTTTGTTTACAGCCGTACTGATAGTAACTACCTAGAACTAAAAAACTGAAAAAGTTGTTGTTATGTGTTTTACAATTGTTATTTTTCTTGCTTTTTTCTGCCTGAGATGTTGCTGCAGTTCAGTGTTCATGGTTTTACACTGGTCCAGACCAGAGCAGAGAGGATTCATGGTTTTACACTGGTCCAGACCAGAGCAGAGAGGATTCATGGTTTTACACTGGTCCAGACCAGAGCAGAGAGGATTCATGGTTTTACACTGGTCCAGACCAGAGCAGAGAGGATTCATGGTCCGAAACAGTGGATCAGGTGAAAATCCACTGGAGGAATAACTTTTTTTAAAATGCTAATGAAGCTTTTAGCATTTTACTTTGGACCAGAACAGAGAAAATGGTCTGAACCAGGATCCACCTCTGCTGCTGTGACCTGAAGGACTGTTGTATTTTATTACTACTATTGTTTGTTTGGATGGATGTGTTTCTGCTGCGACTGGACACCTGCATTTTTCCAACAGGGATCAATAAAATATCTATATGTATCTAACTACCAAAAATTAAGGTTGAAATAAAACATATTTAATGCAAAATGTTGAATGAGGAACGCTCACACAGAAGTAGGACAATCCAAAGTGGGCAAATTCTGACGGCAGATGCAAACTAGCATTTAGTCCACTAGACTGATCTAATGGACTAAAGGCTAAAGGTATGCATGTATAGCAATCAATAAATAAATACATAGATAAGTGTAGGAAAAGATTAAGTGATTCTATAGGCCAAAGAATCAAAGGTAGATGGACTTTCCCAACCAAGCTCTCTGCTCTTATTGGACGAGCACGTATCACCAGAATGATTGACAAGTGGGAGGACCAATAGTCTTGATGAAAGTAGAAAATCCTCCTATATACCTTCAAATTAGCATGAGGTTCTAATGCACCAATTAAGATAAGATGACACTGACTTTATTGATCTCACACTGGAGAAATATGCTGTAAACACATATTTTTTATCATGTTTGTTGGGAGAAATTAATCTATTCCAATCATAAACAATAGCAAAATGGTGTGGACTTTTTACATCTGCATATATATGAGCAGAGACAACACTTGGGTGAGCGTGGAAACAGTATCCATGCATGAATGCCCACGTGTCAGATCCGCAGTCGTGCATGCAGCGTGCAGATCCGCAAACACACAACGTGACCGGAATGAGACAAAGCACCGGGAGATCCCACCTTTCATCTGGGATTCATACTCGGCCAGACTGCCCTTCTCCCTCCTCAGCTTGCCGTGTGATGTCATCATGTTTGACCCTTGGCCCCGGTCTGGTCCTGGTCCTGGTCCTGGGAGTGTGTGTCTGTGATCTGTGTCCTCTACAGCCTCATGCAGCTGTGTAATGAGATGCCAGTGTGTGCGCGGTGTCCATGAGGTCCTCCAGGCAGATCCATAGGTGAAGTGACCTGAGCAGAAGGAGAGACAAGATAAGCATTTCCAAAACCAGTACGGCCTACTTCGTTAAGGCTCAAATTACCACTTTATTGATTATATTGGAAAATTTTACAAATCCAACTCGTCTTTCTCCAAGGGCCACGTTGGGATATCGCCGTAGTAAGTACAGCTGGACCTGGGACTGTATTATAAAGCTATCGTTTTCATTTAAAGCTGCAGTTAGCGATGTTGTTAGCTTAGCCGTAGCCGAGTCGAAACCACTCCCCCCTCCCCTCCCTTTTCCACCAAACCAAACATCCAGCATTTTCTTTTCTTTGTCACAACAGGGAGAGTGGAGCAAACGTGAAATTGGCATTTTCTGTTCAGCCATTTTAGGTTTTAGAAAATCAGAAAACAGGAAGTGGGTGAAGGAGTTTGTTGGGGATGAACAAATCCCATTTTTATCGGTCCGCTCCAAAATATGTTTTATTATTTTTGTAGACTATAGACATCTGGTCAATTCCATTACTTTTTGAAAACACATTATAACTTGATATTTTTAGGGTTTAGATAGATAGATAGACTTTATTTATCCCCGTCGGAGAAATTCAGGTGTCCAGTGGCAGTAAAAAAAAAAAAATTGTCTGGAAAAAATTTCCAGACATCTTTAATACTATGTTGGAATACTCTTGTCGACTCATTTGCAGAGACACGTTTTTATTTTTATTTTTTTTACTTTTTATTGTCTTCACTATGACATGTCACACACAAAACTAACAAGGCCTTTACACAAAACAATGCTTTGTTCATTCGTCTCAGTAATCTATCCTTGAGAACATGTATTCATGTGACAATATTTTTCTGTAACCATAGAAACAACATAAAAGTACCTCAAATAAACGCAGAAAGAAAAAAAAGTAGTTTATAACCAGAGTGTATACAATAGTTCTATAAGATACTTCTTCTTGTTCTTGTAAATACACATTTCTCGATCCTTTGACCTCCTGCAGATTCATGTTTTGGACTAAAATAATCAAAATACGTTTTGATTTCATCGTTTCACTTCAGAGCTTTTGAATCATCTAATCCTAACCCTGGTTTTTATGTGAACAACATCTTTAAAATGAGGAATAACATGCCATGGTAGCATCTGTGAACCCTTTAATGGTTTCCTCCACTATTTAGTAGATCACCTTTAAAGTCACGTTGGGCTGAAATATACTTTCTTGGAATCAGGCACTTTAATGTTTATTTATTTATGTAGCGCATTTTACAGACCAAATTACAGACCCAAAGCACTTTACAGAGTTCAGAGTCAGATATTGTTCCAATCATTCCACACACGGTGATGACAGAAGCGAGTCCAGAACACACTGGACCATCAAAACCTCATCCGTTCACTCTCTCATTTACATTCAGACCTATTGTGCATGTTTTTAGTGGTAGGGGAAACCGGAGCACCCGGAGGAAACCTACGCAGACACGGGGAGAACATGCAAATTCCACTCAGAAAGGCCCTGTTTCGACCGGGATTGGACCTTCTTGCTGAGAAGCGAGAGTGCTAACCACTCAGCCACCGTGCCGGCCACTTTACCGTCAAACTGCATCACTACCATTTGGTAAAAGCCCACAATAAAAAAACTAAAAAAACTATGGGTTTAACCAAAAACAAAAAAACATATTATTTGTGCTAAAACTTCTTACATCTTAGAAAATCTGAAGAAGAAAAAATTAAGTTGTTATTAATTTAAATATTGGCAAAAATTCCCGAGGTATTAGTGTATTATTTTATATATTGCACATTTCACTAACAAAAAAATGTCAAAGATTTGCAAAACCATTTACAATGAAAAAAATAAAAGGTTAAATAGATAGCCACAAAACACTGGCCTCACAAATGCCATTTTGTAATTTTTTTCCCCTGAAGCAACAAATTATAGAATAAAAAAAAAGTTGCAAAATAGCCAGATGAGTATGTTCGATGGTTTGTACTTTTGTGTTTTATATGAATTGAACATTTTGGATAATATACTATTCATTTCCTCTTCATAAATTATTCAAAATATAACTCGAGACACGGGTCAGGTCAACAGCACGACATTTTAATGCAGCCGTAAATGACTATGGGGGAGCTCATTCCTGCTGTAAGGGCCTGAAGAGGACAGCGGGGCCAAAGGACGGAGGGATTTATGGACCAGGATATGAGAGAGAGAGAGAGAGAGAGAGAGAGAGAGAGAGAGAGAGAGAGAGAGAGAGAGAGAGAGAGAGAGAGCGAGAGGGAAGACAAACGAGGTCAGGCCAGTCAGGACGAGACGCCAGAGGAGAGCGGACAGTGCAGGGTCCACAGTGATGGCTGCTGGATATGTACATGTAAATGAGTGAGGGTGGGGGTGGGGGTGAGGGTGGGGGTGAGGGTGAGGGTGGGCGGTGTAGTCAAGTCTCGTTATGAGGGTTACCCACAGGCGTGTCACAATTATTACAATATTGATTTATCATTCAATCACTTTTTTGAACTCCAACAGTATATATTTTTACTTCCGGCGCCAGCTCCCGCTGTGCAGCTCGTCACTTTGGCTCTCTTCTCTTTCCGACCCTTTCTCTATTTATTTCTTGTAGATGTGCTTTTTTATTTTTATTTTTCGTAGACAAGCGTTTATTTGTGCATTGTGCACACGGGAAGCCTAGCCTCGTGGACTTTCTCACTGGATTAACATGTCTTCGGCACTTTTTTCGGAGTCCTCCGCTCACAGAGCCACGAGACCAGCGTGTCCCATTGTTTACACACGGGAGCAGCTTCTCGGACTTAGAGGCTTTCCGGCACTCAGAGAAGCCGGTGATCCCCTTGGAGATCCGTAGGAGACGCAGGGGCTCCAGAGGAGGCCGAAAGAGGAAGAGGAGGCTGTACCTCCCCTCCATCATCATGGGGAACGTACGGTCCATCTCTAATAAGACTGAGGAGCTGACCGCACTGGTCCGCCATCAAAGAGAGTACAGACAATGTGGACTTATGTGTTTCTCTGAGACGTGGCTGTGTAGGAATATACCGGACTCTGTGGTCGCGCTGGAGGGATTTAAACTTGTGCGAGCGGACCGCTGCGCGGAGGGGAGTGGGAAGAGCAAAGGCGGGGGGGTCGCGTCTACGTGAACGAGCAGTGGTGCATCCCGACGCACGTGCATGTGGTTCAGCGCACATGCACCCAGGACCTGGAGCTGCTCGCTGTGAGCATGAGACCCAGGTATCTGCCGCGGGAGTTTTCACACACCGTGGTTCTATGTGTTTACATTCCTCCCGTCAGGGGACGGGGCCGCAGTATGTGAGGAGATCCACAGAACTGTGACCCAGATCCAGACCCGCAGTCCCCGCGCTCTGATTCTGATCAGCGGAGACTTTAACCACGCCTCCCTCTCCGCCACTCTCCCGACATTCAAACAGTATGTCACGTGCCCAACTCGTGGCAATAAGACTCTGGACCTACTGTATGTTAATGTGCGGGACGCATACGCCTCCTCCCCCCTCCCCCCCTCTCGGACGCTCTGATCACAGCCTGGTCCGTCTGTCTCCGGAATACACACCAGTGGTGAGAAGAAATCCAGCGCAGAAGAGGATTGTAAAAGTGTGGAGCGATGATGTGGATGAGATGCTGAGAGATTGTTTTCAAAACACTGATTGGGAAATGATCTGCAGCTCTCATGGTGAGGACATCGAGAGCCTGACACACTGCATTACAGACTATATTCTCTTCTGTGTGGATAACACTGTACCAACTAAGAAGGTGCGGTGTTTTTCTAACAACCACCCATGGGTGACCCCTGAGCTTAAAGCCCTCCTGAACCTCAAGAAAAGGGCTTTCATCTCAGGGGACAGGGAGGAGCAGAAGAGGATCCAGCACGAGCTCCAGTGGAGGATCAGGAGGGCCAAGAAGGACTATGGGAAAAAGCTGGAGCAGAAGCTGGCCCAGGGAAACGCCCGCGACGTGTGGAGAGGCCTAAAGAACATCTCCGGCTTTGGACAGAGTGCCAGAGGAACAGCGGATGGAGACCAGCACCGGGCGGACGAATTTAACCAGCACTTCAACCGGTTTGATTCTCCCCCCTCTCCATCTGCCCCCCCTCCCGCCCCCACCTCTTCACACGTCCCCAGCCCAGTGGACACCGCCCAGTGGACACTGCCTCCGACTGCCCCGGGCCCTCCTGCCCTCGCATCCCCCCCCCCACCTCGGACAGTACACCCCGGTCCCCCCCCTGCCCTCGCATCCCCCCCCCCCCACCTCGGACAGTACACCCCGTCCCCCCCCCCCCCCCCCCCCCCCCCCTCCCCCCTCTCCATCACACCGGACCAGGTGACGAGTCAGCCTGAAGCAGTGGAAATCCGCAGGACCGGACGGGATCAGTCCCAGGCTGCTGAGGACCTGTGCAGACCAGCTCTCTGGGGTCCTCAGCTACATGTACAACCTGAGCCTCAGCCTGGAGAAGGTCCCTGTCCTGTGGAAGACCTCCTGTGTGATCCCGGTTCCAAAAACAGCACACGCCAAGGAACCGGCTCACTACAGACCAGTCGCACTGACCTCCCACCTGATGAAGACCATGGAGCACTGACCTCCCACCTGATGAAGACCATGGAGCACTGACCTCCCACCTGATGAGGACCATGGAGCACTGACCTCCCACCTGATGAAGACCATGGAGCGGCTCATCCTCACCCATCTCCGCTCCGTGGTCAGCCCCACCCTGGACCCGCTGCAGTTCGCCTACAGACCCAACATCGGAGTAGAGGACGCCGTCATCTACTTCCTGCAGCGGACGCTCTCCCACCTGGAGCCCGCCGGGAGCGCTGTGAGGGTCATGTTTTTCGACTTCTCCAGCGCTTTCAATACCAT